ACAAAGTTGGAGAAAGTTGGTCGCCACATTAGCTCAATCAATCAGGAAGATGTACAAGAAGCCATACGAAATCTCAAATCACCAACGAATACGCCAGATCGGATATGGAGTCCGCCACGCGACATGATCAACACACATTTAACAAGTACGTCATCTGCCCAAAACACCAGTCAAAGCGCGCATGGCGCTACAGTCATTAAGTTATCCAGCCATGAGCTCAATGATGAAGGCTTCGAAGAGACCCAAAGTCTTGTATCGGATACGCCATCGCAAGGCAAGGAGAGCACGAACTCGTCTTGCAATGGCGCCACCGAACTCGTTGCGCCACACACAAGAACCTCCACGACAAAAACTACAACACCAAAGTCCAGCACCCCCACCACCGCCAAACACAACTCGAATAGACTTGCGGATCGTCTACAAATCGCTAAGCTGCGGAACGTGCTGCCACACAAAACTCCAGCCATCTCCACCTACTCGCAAGCGAGCACAACGCGCCGTTCGCCAAACTCCATGCAAATGGATCGTAGTCGGTCATTCCGCACAACAAACGGTCCAACAGTTGCTCAGCCGGTTTTCGGCGGCGGCCCTGGCATCACCGGCAGCAATGCAGCAAGGCGTGCACATTCGATGCGTCGTCCAGGCAGCGCCACACATCCAGATGCAACACAAAGTGTCAACACCTCACCAATTCATGCAGTTCGACGCGAGGTAGAACGTAGCAGTTCCCGTAATAGCCTGCGTTCATCGCGTTCATCCATCAACAGCGGTGTTTCGACCAATACAGTACGTCGTATGCCGATCGTCGTGAGTAAAACGCCGTTACAAACGGTATCGGTCGATTCATCACCCAGCAAGCGGCCACTAAGTATGCAAAATAATGTGCCACCACACCTGCGCATTACGGCTAATGTGGCGGCGAATCGGTCGACCGTGCCGGCAAGTCGTAGTAGCAGTAGTGGTTCCAGCATTGGCCAGCATGTTGTGGTGACGCGCAAAGTAACGGGTAATGGTAGTGGCGGGGGTGGTGGTAGTCAGCGCTCGGTGCATTTGGGCAGCGCGAGTTTCAAGGAGAATCAAACAAATGCCATGCCAACGCGCACAAATTTGGCCCGCAGCGCCGTTCTAGTCAAAGCGACCATGTCACAACAGACCGCACCGCAATCGACGACGCACACACGTGCGAATAGTAGCACCCGAAGTAGTTCGAGTAGTCGTGGCATGAGCAGCTTTATGCGACCAACAGCGTCAAGCGTCACCAAGCGAACCAAATAGGTTCGGATAGAGGGGGAGAATTTATGTATATATGTATTTGTAAATGTGTGCTTCGGTATGTGTGCATTGGGGGTGTTCTTAGTCGTAAACCGTAATGGTTATCATTTTTCTAATACTAGAAATTATAACTCGATCATTGTTTTTTACCCGTTGTTTTTTACGTGAAGTGAGCAGTTCGTTTATTCGCGTTATTTCGAAAACCGGTTTTGAAATTAAGAAAAAACCGGATAAACCGGTGTTATTTTTTGCATATTTTTTTTATAGTTGCACTTACTGTTAGTCAAAAGTCATTACCAAACATACAATATGACTGCTAAAAATAGAAAGTTTAATTTAAAAATCAAGTAAAACCGAAAAAATTAGTGAAAAATTCACACTCAATTGGGTTCACCGATCTTAGCAAGATTAAACAGTCCTTTTTCGGGAAAAACTTGAGCAAGTAGAATCGACTGTCTTGGGAATAACATACCGCCCGCTAAACCAGACCGACTACTCTCGTCAATTCTCGCTCCTTGAATTCCATCATTGGACGAAGCGCTCGAGTTACTTCGTGAGGCTCGCGATACTTTCACATAACTCCATTCTGAATATTGTAACAGGTTAAACTTTTCTGTCCAATTTGAATACGACGCCCTTTTTGATTTTTAAGTAATTTCTTGAAAATTTTCCAGAATCCAAATATGAAATATAAATAAAGATTTGCTAGTTCCATTTTTAATAAAATAAATGTTTAGAATTTTCAGATTGTGGTATATTAGTAAACTAGGTGAAAACAGGTTTATTCGATTGTAAAAATCCGGTTTGCTAGGTATTCGAAAATCAGGATTTCAAAAAACCGATTAAAAATATTCAAAAGAACGATTAAAACCGGTTGTAAAACCCGAATTAATCACCCTATTACGTACCATTATTCGTCTTTGTTTTAATTTTTGCTCGAAGTTAAATATTTTTTAGCAATTATTGGATTTACATTTTTTCGATCACTTTTAATTGTTGCTTCTTTAAATATCTATTTGTTAACAATAATTGGATTCAGATTGAGGTACCACCTTTCCGATAAAAAAAAAGATGGTAATGGTAACATACATAATAAAAAATAAAAAAATATTCCGATGAATTGATACCCTTCCTCCTTTTTTTAATATTGGTTAAAAAAAGAAATTAAAATTAATAGAAAAATGTCAAAACTGCTTAGAACACTCTTAAAGCACACGCATACGTACACACAAGCATATGTATGCATATAGTATGTGTATCTTGAAATAACGTACACAAAACTATCTATCATATCCGATCCCTGCAAATTGCACAGAAGATAAATGTTATACGTTTTACTAATTCTGCAATTAAAAACATTCTACTCACAGTTTAGTAGAAATTTTTATAGAAGAAAATAATATGAATGTATTTATTTTATAATAGGCTGTTACAGTTGATAAACCCGAATGGAAATTCAAACAGAATCTAAGATACGTACATATGTATACGTAGTAAATATACAAACAAACAGACATAGTATATTTGTACTCGTTAACATTCCGTCGTTGTAATATTTTTTTCTACATGTCTTTTGATGACACATTGAAATTTAAAATAGATATTTATCTACCAGATAGAGTATATAAAAAACACTCTTATGCCGTCCGAGCAAATCGAATTTGAAGCACACCTTTGGAAAAATCAAAAATAAACTAAAAAAAATAAGAAGCACTTTCCAACACAGTTTAAAACCATATTTTTATGTGTAAGACGATCAGCAATACAGCGATTTAGGCAACAAATATTTTTGCAAAACACAAATTATAATATCAAAAACTTACTAATACATATATGTATGCAACGGGTGATCCATATTGACCTTTGCTTTTGAAATTTTAAATAAAACACTCAAAACCAAACTGGATGTCTGATTCTTTGTTATTACCAGAATCAACAATCTCGGACATTTATGTTTTAAAAATAATTTCAAAATGTTGGCCAGTTCTGTTTTATTTATTTTATTCAAAATTAAAAAACAAAAGAAAGGTCTAGTTGGATGACCCCTTATAAAGCGAATTATTCGATTGGTTTCTTACTTTAATTTGAAAAACTATTAAATTGTTAGGAATTTGCATTTAAATTGTTTTGCTAAAGATCGCCCACACAGCCTTCGTAAATGTGTATATCGTCGTTTCACGCACAAAACCGCGTATCAAGATAATGCAAAACCGCATATGTGAGGTTGCATAAATTATTTTGAAGAGCGTAAAAATATTCATATTTCAAAGTTGTTCTCTTTTTTATAGAGCCATCGAATTTCTGGCTAGTATATTTCAGAACGAATGGAATGAGCCAAAAGCATCGGTGAGCAAATCCACAAAAAATATCAGTTACGCGGTTTCGCAGAACGACGATATGCGGTTTTGTACTTTAAACGACGATATGTATAATTTAAGCAGGCAATTAGCAAACTTAATCAAACTAAACAAATTTTATTAAACGAATTGAAATCAAAATATTTAAGTAAACGGTTTTTTTTTCCCCAATAGCTACAAGAAAATGCATACTAACATGCGAAATTCTCAAGAATAACATGAGAATTCACTAAAGGTTTTCGATTTTCGAAAATTATAAAACTAATACACTAAAAATTGTCTACTAAGTTATTAAATTAAGCAAAATAAAGCGATTAATGAAACTAAGCCATTTTACTTACTAATATTTAAGCTCTGCTAGCTAGTTTGCAATCATTAACTTTTAATCAGAAATTAAAAACGTAAAATATTTCAAGTTGATAATAATTTTTAAGTAATATTTATTTCACAAACGCTTTTGGCAACAACACAAAGTGTGCAAGACTGTAGTAGTTGTCTGTCTACATACATATTTCGCGTATGTATGTATGCAAGTGTGGTGGTGATAATTGAAAGTAAAGAAAAAAAACAACAAATGTATTTAACAATGACACACACAAACGTACATATATCTTAATGTGAATAGAATGAAAAAGCTTTAAAATTATAATTAAAAATACTTGTAATTGTTAAGATACACAGTTTTGTAAAAATAAAACTTGTTTCTAAATTTACGTTCATTTCGCTTGTGTGCCTTACATACACTCAGTGTCAAATGTAAGTGCACATCTAGCAATATAATATGTATTGACAATTATTTTCATGAACAATTTTTTTCATTAATTATTTATGAAAACATAGTTTATTATATAACATAAACCGTATAAATCAAAGTTTCTCACTTTATATAACGTTCAGAAAAAATATAACAATTTTCATCAAAATTTCAAAATTTTTATTCAGAATTTCTAGAAAATTTTCGAGTATGCAGTGTAATAGCCAGTTTTATTTTAGTAAGCTGAGTGCAAGTTTCAAGTCGCTGGAAATCACCGTTGATTTTTTAAGATTTTTTTTTTGTGGAGGGTGTTGCGCATTTTCTTCCAAATAGCGCGTGCTCAAAATTTATTTTTATGAAAATGCGCAACACCCTCCACAAAAACAATTCTAAAATTGAACGGGCTACAAAACTGCACACTCGCAAATTTTCCACATATTCTAAATAAAAATTTTTCTGAATATTTTTTGAATTTTTGTGAAGTTAAGATAAAGCATGAACCTTTGATTCATATGGTTTATGTTTAAGAATCAACTATATTTTCATAAATAATTAATGAAAACAATTTTTCATGAAAATAATTGTGTATTATATTAGAACAAGGTACCTACACTTATATTTGACACTAACTGTATATATTTATTGAGTGCGTTCTTTATACATATGTATTTTTATAATTTTATGTTGCAATAGCTGCAGCAGTGGTTGTTGTTGTTGTCGTTGCTGTCCCAGTTGCTGCCGTTACTGATGGTGTCGCCGTTGACGTCGCAGTTGAATTCATTGCTGTTGTCGTAGGTATTTGCTGCAAGTTCGCATCAAGCGTTTCTTTACTGATATCGGTCAAAGTTGATTTTACTCCTTCGCTGGAATTCGCGCGCTTGCGTGCTGCGTTCGAGCGAGCATAATTATCTTCATTGAACCATTCTTTGCGTGCTTCTAGGTAACTGTGAAAATAAAGAATTGTTTTGATAAAAATATGTATGTACATACATAGATATTTATGTAGAAGAAAATTTCATACGGTAGGTTATCAAAAGTTTTAAAGTAAACTTACTTAACGAAAGTATCCAGGTGCTGTAGTAAAACTTTAAGTTTATCATCGTTTATTGAAGAGGCGTTTAAAAATTCCGGCAGTTTCACTGTAAATATATGATTATTTAGAACACGATGCGATGTGTGGTTTAACGACGGGTGAGCGGAGGATCAGGCTATCTCAGCAAACGGTTAAAAAACGCCCTATTTCAAAATTTGGTTCAAAAACGGCCTACCTCAGTAAATAGTTCATAAACGCTCTACCTCAGCTGCCGGTATATTGAATGTATATTGAGATACGGCGTTTTGGTAGCGGCAGCTGAGATATGTCGTTTTTCATGCAAATTCTGAGAAGGAGCGTTCCCGCGACAGTCGGAACTATGTAACCGGTTCGACCCAAATTCATGTCTGGCCAAAGATTGCATTCCATAAACATTCCCCAAAAACTCTGGGGAAATTGTAAGCTGTTACAACAACAACATGTGGCGTTCTTCTTGCTGAGATGGGACATTTTCGAACGGCAGCCGAGATAGCGCGATCTTCCACTCAGTCGACGATTATGTACTATCTGATAGGTTATCAAAATTAAAACTAGTAAATATCTATTAAATCTAGGTACTGTAGCCAAATTTTTAAAGAGTCCTATGTATCTAAATTCAGGGAAGCAAGGCATTACTATTCCGTTCAATGAGAATTAAAAAAA